CCATACTGATACAACAATACTGAAACACACAAACATGACAGCTGACATTCCTTCCAGTTTTTAGAATTAATCTGCAACTATTTTGATAATTTATCAATTCTTTCTGGCATTTACAATGAAAAAAGGGAAAGAATTCTGTTTACAGATTCTTCAGTGCATCTTTTACATCAGATGAGATGAGATAAAAATTAACAATATCAAATACTAAAAATAAAAAAGATAAATAATAGATAATAATAATAGTATATTTGTAATATACTATTTTTGTAATATTTGTAATAGTACAAATAGATATTAAAATATAGTATTGGTAGCAGCAGATAAGCAATATTGCACAGTTGGTGTGTGTTAATTATTGCACATTGTGGGTGTTGTCCACTGGGTGCAGTATTTGTTTATGGTCTGACAAGCAGCAGGACGGAAAGACTGGCTGGGCTGAGAGGGCGTCCAAGGACAGAGCCGGCCCTTGTAACTACTCCATTCAGTCTTTTCCTGTCAGCAGTGGAGATGCTGGCGCCCCCAGCATACCGCAGCAGTGAAAATGGCTGAGTTATGACGGAGAAAATAATTGGCAGATTTACCAACAATGAAAATATTATTTAGTTGCAGACGTGGAGTAAAAAGGGTGGAGGTAATGGTGGTGTACAGGCGAGTAAATCCAGCATTCATGATGAAGCCTGGAGTTTTAGATCTGTCACATTTCAGAAAATGAGTTTGGCTTTTTCTTTTAGGTGACCATAATCACCAACTTTCCCTAAACTTAACAAGGGTTTTAGTTACTTAAACCATTTAACCTAATAGTAGTGGTGTGGGCATGCTGTAGTAATAACTTTTTTTATATTTTTTTTTTTAAATAAAAGTTGACATGTTAAAAAACATAATCTCAGCCTCAAGCAGCGGTCCGACCATTTAGTGTTTTGCTGAAATTGAGATCGGCTTTGACTCTCTGTTGCATGGTGCGCAAACATAAGGATGGTTTATGAGAATGAGGTATGTGTCTTAGACTGAGAACAGACCCACAACCACATCTGCTCCAAGGTCAATCTGGTCCCAATCTGAGGATGATATCAGTGAGAAATAAACGCGATAATGCTTAAAATTTAAATAAACCACTTTAATGAACCACTTCTCAGCCAGTGGAAATCAGTATGAATGAGTCTTACAGTATCTGCTGTCCACCGCCGCCTCATACTTCATGACAAGCTTCTCCCCCAGTTCATTAAAATCCTGCGTTCATATGAAGGTGACGGGATACATGTTGATAAAATCAGAACTGCTGCACCAGAGCAGAATTGCATTACACAAGTACACTACCTAAATTAAATTATGTCCAAATGAGACCAGGCTGCTACAAAGTAACCCCACACAAAACTGCACACATCAAACTGGGCCATTATGACTATTATCCTGTTTATGTGGGAGTAAACTGAGCAGCTGCTGTGAACAGTATCATATAAGCATGTGTTATTATATTATGTCATCAGTGTACTGTGTTAAAGAAAAAGCAGTGAACAAGGTGGGAAGCGGGACTACACTACACAGCACACGGTGCTTCTCTCAGCAGCAGACACCAGAGTACTGACCACAGGTCATCGGTTTTAAGGTGATCAGTGATTAGAGGCAATAATTCCAATCTACCGATCAATAAAATTTAATGATATAATGAAAATTTAATGAAAGAATATGTTCTGGGTAAAAAATGTAGTACTTTTTCAACCCATTTCTGAATTTTGACACTTGAGACAATTTGGTGATTTCTCCTTCTTTTTTGCCCTCCCTCATTTTTTTGTTATCTCTCTTGCTCAGCTGTTTCCAGCTTTCCTGCTTCCTCTATTCTTTCACCATGACAATCAAGAGGTGTTCGAAGAAATCTGGCATTTCTGGGCTCTAGTCTACTTACTATGCAAAAGATAAATATTTAAATTGGACACAGCATGCTTCAAATATCTTCATTTTTTATTTAGATGACTTGTGTCTTCTTCTTGAGACAGAAGAAGAAAAACATACGAGTTTCACTACAGACCTCACTCTGAGGTTCTGGCCACCAGCCTAAGCCATCTGTTTCACATTTCATATCCATAGGACCCTTTCTGTTTCCTTTGCACTCTCACTATCCTCCTTCCTTCCTGTTCTCTGAAGATTTTGTCATTTTTCCTCAGCCTCTTTCTGGACAGTTACAGTGCAGAATGTCCCATAGTTCAAACCAATGTGTTGCATAGCAGCTCTCAGTCTGATTGCTCAGACAGAAAAGGTCACTTGGCAAGAACATGCTGTATTCCTCGTATGTCAAGCTGCTGGTATCCAGTGAGCCACTACTAAAGGCGACTTTCTATTACGATTCTAAACTGAAAGTTTATTTCCAGTTCTCATTTATCCCCGTGTACTTGTGAGCTATTATCTCATATTTTTAAGAAACTTGGACTGTGTCAGGGAGCACTGCAGGCCCCTACTACAAACTACAACTACAAACTTTGTATTATGGGTTATACATGTATAACTTTTTCTACTAGTGCAGCAGCGGTCACCACTACATACGCACAGATTTCAAGAAGGTACCAATTTTCCAGGAAGTTCAGGACACTCATAGGGTCTTCATGTTCATTCTACGTATTTCATAGTTATGACATGTCAGCACGGGTGTAGTGCTGCCAGAGAGCATCAGAACAATGCTCCTGCACTTTTCTTCTCCAAGTGAGGAAAAACTACTTTTGCATAATCCAGTGGAAACTTGCACACAACAATGGTCGAAGTCGTCAAACTGACACATATGGAGACAGATCTGACAAAATATTATCCAACCATCTCAAAGGCTCCTAAGCTAAACAAAACATCCCTGAGATTCAAAAGCCGAATGGACACATGACTTCAATGAAACATTAAGGGACTTTTATTCCAAGCTTTACACCTCAGAGTCTCAAACCGATCACAATAACAAGATGGCGGCTCTTTGTTCTGCCGTTCTAAAAGTTTGTTCACACCCTGGTGTTCTTCACAACCTTGACCTGTTGCTCTCTGGCAGGTGCTACAGGCCATTCAAAAATCAGACCACTAAATTCATCAACAGTTTCTCTCCTAGAGCCATTTCCGCACTTACTCAGAACAGTCATGCAAAATGAAAAACAATACATGTGTAACTTTTAACCATTCCATTGCAATTTTCCACTGTGAAGAATTACATCCACACTATTTGTCCATCTATATTGGGATTGTATTAATGTGTGTGAATCTATCTCTTTTAACAAGGTTAAAATCTTGACTTTCATTAGAATGTGTCTTTAAACACATCATGTTACCGTTTTAAAATGGTAGTTCAATATTTTGGGAAATACACTTATTGGATCTCTTGCTGACATTAACAAGTTGATTTGTGTGCGTGTAGATTCTGATGTGGATTCTGTTCCCGATTTTTGGGCATTTTCACCTTTACTAAACAGTGGGTAGTGTAGAGGGAGGCGGACAGGACGTAAAGGTAGAAGGGGTGGGGGTGTGATGATGTAAACATGCATCATCACGCATTGAGGTTTTACTGACACCGAGAGCGAATCACACAGACACGGATTTAATTCGACCAGGCAAATTTCTGAGGCCAAAGTTAGAGTGGGTGGTAATTCGGACTTCAGAGTGACATTCAACATTAGTCTCAATCTTTCGGAAGGACCGGGCTAATTTCCTGTATTGTTAAAATAGCTCATGGAAGTTGACAAGGATGTCAAGAGGGATGTGAGTGACCCTGGGGAAGAGAGATAAGATGTTTTGAAGTGGCTCCTTTGCATCAGTTTAAAAAGTGCAGAGAAGTTGATGCTGGAAGGATGCTGCAGTACAAAGCTACAACAGTGAAAGACCTACCTACTGTATCACCTACACTAATCAAAACATGCTGTCCATAAAGCTTTCACTCACTAACCTTTGAATCTGTTGTCATATTTCTGCATTTCTTCCTTGTTGTTCTGGTTTTTGTTAGTTGTTGTTGTTGTTTCTGGATCTAGTATATTTACTATCTTTAAATGTGCTCTAGAAATAAAATTGACTTGACTTGACATTTTGAACTGCTCTGGACTGTGGAGGTTCCAATAAAGAAATCAGATATAAGGAAAAATAAAAAAAAAACAAATATATATTCTTCCCAATTTATCACAATTCAGTATCATCTTTTAAAATACAGGTCAACCCAACAAAGAGGAGACAAATCCAGCTGCCCTCATCTCATGTGACTCATCATTCTGATTGGGTACTCTGTAAGAAGGTAAACGTCTTAAAGGTTTGAATGTAATATCTTCTGACCTTGAGGCCTTATTTTGATCAAACATGATCAACCCGGATGCTGACTATTTGTCCAAACTGCAATCCCTGTGTGTAGTCTTTTGGTTGGAGCCACACTAGCTACAAAAAAGAAGGAAGTCTGAATAAAGCCCAATATCCGCCTATTGTTTAATCTTCAATTGCTGCCATTCTCTTGCACTTTCCTTGTTCAGTGTTAAAAGGCTAATTTGGCAAAGTCACCTTTTGCCAAACTCTTGCACTTTGTCTGCAAATGCATCAGAGCATTTTCATTTATATAAATAAATATATTTGATATATTTTGTTAGTTTCTTAGTCAAAGAACACACAACACTGCTGTGCTGAAAGTGTTTGTGTCAAATTGTTGTCCCTGATCCATCGCAGCTGGATTGTATGCCCCTCGCATGATGGGACTAAGAGTTTTTGAACTAATGGAACATATCTGGCACGTATCTAGTGTCAGAGCAGGATTTTCATACAGGACAACATCGCTTATATAATATCTAGGATTTCATATATGCTAACGTTACTTTTATTTAACTAACATTATTTATGTGCCCCCACTGATGCTTTGGGCTACTCTCAGTTCATCTCTCACTACCTGTAGAGCTAACTTTGAGTTAACTTTTAGTGTCATCTCAGTTAGCACTATCATCTATCTATCCAACTATCATCACACAACGTTTCAACACACACAGACACATTTCACAGGGTGTGTGTACCTCTGAGGGGATGTCCCAGAGAAGCCTCTGAGGGTAGGGCAGTGAGCGGTCCACCTCGCCTTTACAGTGCCCGTCCTCAGTGTAGCCGAGCTGGAAGGCATCTGTGGCCAGGGTGTACTGGAGAATGGGAGAGACAAGCTCATATTTACATCCAAATACAAACAAATACGCAAACACACTACAAAGAAACACTAAAATGACTCCTACTGTTCATTTAACTATTTTATTTGTTTTCTCTTCAATAGAGACCCAGAAAGTATGATTTTTTTTTTTTTTTTTTTTTAACTCAAACTATGAACTACTCTTGTGCTCCCACTGAATATTCTGAGTTGACTCACAGTAGGTTTTGCATTCCCTCCGACAACTATTTACTGTGGTGATTACAGCACTTCCTTTGCTGTGGTTGGCTGCTAAATGTTAAGACCTCGTGACTCTACTCTGTGACCAGCTGCTACTGGGAGGAATTCCCACAAATTCCTATAAATGCTCACAGTGACTTTTCCAGGGTCTCCATATTTTTGACAGTCCATTTTGCTTTGCTTTTAAACACACACTATATATACTATAACTTCTGGCTCTAGGGGTCTCTGTGCAGAAATCACTTAAATAGGACCTGCCTGACAAAGTGAAGTAGACCAAAAGATCCTCAAAAGCTAGACATCATGCTGCGATCCAAAGAAATTCAGGAACAAATGAGAAACAAAGTAATTGAGATCTATCAGTCTGGAAAAGGTTACAAAGCCATTTCTAAAGCTTTGGGACTCCAGCGAACCACAGTGAGAGCCATTATCCACAAATGGCGAAAACATGGAACAGTGGTGAACCTTCCCAGGAGTGGCCGGCCGACCAAAATTACCCCAAGAGCGCAGCGACGACTCATCCAAGAGGTCACAAAAGACCCCAGAACAACATTCAAAGAACTGCAGGCCTCACTTGCCTCAGTTAAGGTCAGTGTTCATGACTCCACCATAAGAAAGAGACAGGGCAAAAATGGCCTGCATGGCAGAGTTCCAAGACGAAAACCACTGCTGAGCAAAAAGAACATAAAGGCTCGTCTCAGTTTTGCCAGAAAACATCTTGATGATCCCCAAGACTTTTGGGAAAATACTCTGTGGACTGACGAGACAAAAGTTGAACTTTTTGGAAGGTGTATGTCCCATTACATCTGGTGTAAAAGTAACACGGCATTTCAGAAAAGGAACATCATACCAACAGTAAAATATGGTGGTGGTAGTGTGGTGGTCTGGGGCTGTTTTGCTGCTTCAGGACCTGGAAGACTTGCTGTGGTAAATGGAACCATGAATTCTGCTGTACTGCATATTGCCAGGCTACCGTTCACAGTCTTTTTCAATGCAACACCCAGCTCTCCGTCAGTGGGATCTCTTTTTTTTTTTTATCATACAAATATGCACTAGCTGCTACTGTATGTAGCAGCTGTAGCAACAGTGGTGGCCTGATGTTGCTTTGCAGTTATGTTGTCATCATTATTTGATCTGCTTTTTCTTTCAGTATATTTTAGTATGTTTTTCTCTTCTCACACAGCCATTTCTCAGAAAAAAAAAAAAACGATCTCTCACAGTGACACTACTTGAGCTGAGTAACAGACTATGATGGATAAATGCTAGTGAGCAGAAATTTACACATGCACGAGCCCATGAACACAGACGGACACACAGAGACAAACACACCTCCCAAAGGTGAGCCACGGTCGGTGCGTCAGCCCAGGAGTGCTCTGCATTCAGCCCATTCTTCCCATTCTTGTAGATCACAATGGAGAATGATTTATCAAACCACCTGGGAGATGAGAGAGGAAAGATGCAGCAAAAAGAGGAGGTTAGATGTGAGGGAATGCATTATATTGTATTTAAAACACACACACAGACAGTAGAATTCCTCCTCAGGGGACCATTAATGCCTGTACAAAATGTCACGCAAGCCATCAAATACTTAAATATAATCCACTTAATCGCTGTCCATCCTATGTTTTAAATGTATTTCCACAAAATACGGCTAAATCCACACTTTCTATTTGAAAGTGGTTGACATTTGATATTGTTACTTCAAACAAGATTTTGGGAAGGAGGAAAAACAAGAGCTTCACTGGCTTCAGTAGGTTGAAATGTTTTCTGTTGAACCTTTGTCCACACCCATCACTGCTGCTTGGTGTGGTTTTTGTAGTTTATGTGACCCTGTCTCACAGGGTTTACAACAAACAGTAACCTGCTTTTATCAAAAACAACCCTACAAGAGAATAGTGTTTGATTAAAAGATTTTTTTGAGTGATCCTATCTGACAAAGATAAATCGAAGCTCAGTGATTACGTGGGAATGCATCTGTGGCTGCTTGTGTTGAGATCAGAGGTCAAAAACTGGAGAAAATTTAGCGGTCTTTATGAAATAAATCATAGTCTTTATCTTGATGCACACACTGGTTATTTGTTGTACATTAAAAAAAGAAACTGATGAAAGCATTTTGAGTTAATTTGGCCTTCATACCGCAACAACTGAAGCATTCAAGCCAGTTTGCATGCAAGTAAATGAAGAATATGAGGTTGTTGTCCTGAACTTTACACAGATTGCTATTGCTGCTGCCAAGAGTTCAAGATGTGCGAAGCTTCATTGTAGTTAATGGAGGGGGAGATGTACAGAGGATGATAGAATGAAGGCGGCTGGAGATGAGGGAGTTTAGGACAAAGAGAGACACATAATGATCCAGATAGAAAAATAAACACTGTTTGAAAGGAGTAGAGACTGTAATCATGCAAATATAGTGGAGTGTGAGCTAAAGTGTTGCAAAACTGTTGACTGTGCAAAGCAGGAGCAATGAATCAGTGGGTTGAAGAAAAAATACAATTTTAAGAAATATGCTATCTTGCTTTCCTCCTCAGAGTTAGATTAAAATGGAAAAATAAATGCATTCAGTGTTCTGCAGCTCCTCCTTTTCCAGTGATTCTGTATAAAATGATTTTTGGGCCAGTGAGTGCAACATCCAGTGCAAGCAATGAGGCAAAAGTTACAGGCCAGCAACATTCCTGTAGGCTTACTGGAAAAAGGAGGAAACAGGGATCCAGCTCTGCCCAAAGGTCACAAAATCTGTCTTCCAGCACCTTTAAAGCTTTAGTGCAGTAGGAGACCTTGGTGTAAGTACTACATCTATTCAATAAGTGCGAGGAGATCAGGCAAAGAATTCCCTTTTGAGCTGATCAAAGACCATACAGGCTGCTGCATTCTGACATTCACTGTGCATGAAGGGGGGACCGCCAGAAGAGCACTGCAGTAGTTGAGGCGAGAGAGAACCATGACCTGGACCAGGAGCTGGGTCATGCAAAGCCTGATTTTTCTGATGTTGTATTGTGAGAAGCAGCAAAACTGGGAGACGGATGCAACATGGTCGGAGAGAGACAGCTGGTGATCAAGACACCCAGGTTTCTTGTGACCTTGGTTTTTATGTATGTATTTATATTCATGGTTTCTTGGCAGGAAAGAAAAAAAGCAAATAATAAAATAATATTATATTACAAAATGGCAAACTATTCCTTTTAATAATCAGACCAAAGACTTGGTGCCAACTTTTAGTTCTTGACACTTTTTGATATTTGGTACTACAGACAGTATTGAGAACTGATATTCAACCCTGTTGATGACATATTATTTTCCCACCTGTCTGCTTTATTTTTAACCAGTGCCGGGTTTAGTTTTAATTTTGCTGCTCTCTATTGCACACTAGTTTGTTTGTCTATGTTTTACACACAAAATGTACAAGAACAGAGCGTCTCACCGCTGTGTTATTTACACTAGAACAATAATGTGAAGCACTAACTGTTCTGATATGATCCAAACAGCAGCTAGAATTGCATCAGGATGAGTCCGACAGACAGTCGGCCACCCAGCATACAGAAAATCTAAATGAAAGAAAAACCTTTATCTTCATCACTTTATCTGATCTTACTGCAATGGCAATTGGGAGGAATCTTGCCATGATTACTTTAATTACTTTCTCCTCTCAACCAACCCGTCGAGGCAGATGGCCGTCCACCCTGAGCCTGATTCTGTTGGAGCTTTCTTCCTAAAAGGGAGTTTTTCCTCCCCACTGCTGCTCATTGTAGAAACTGTTGGGTTTTTCTCCATAATATTGCAAAGTCTTGACTTTACCCTGTAAAGTTTGTTACAACTTAGCACTATACAAATAAAACTGAAATGAACTGAATCTGTCTGTTTAGTCTAAATATTAATCTAATTTATAACATTTGCTTCAGGTGATGTACCATACTCAGTGCTGGATGGTGTTTCATTCTCGTTTTATATTTCAGAATTCATAAGTAACCAAAAAGCACCTTATAGTTCAAGATAATGTATCTTTGGTAATTATCTTAAGGCCTCCACTTTCTCTCCTCCTCACCTGTCATAACATTTCCCATGGAGCAGGGACTTGGCGTAGCGGTCCAGGTTTCCTGCTGGGTCCTCTCCCCTCATGCCTTGCTCTTCATCATCCAAGGTCACAAAGAAGGCTGCCCTCTCGATGGCATCCAGCGATCGCTTGTTGACGCCGGAGCTGAAGTACTGCTTCCTCATTTGAGACCAAGGAATCCTAAGAATGTGGGTGAAACATATAAATGGTGAGACACTTCAGACTCATGATTGTCATCATTATCATCCATCCATATACATTGCCAACATATAAGAACACAGATGTGTAATCGATCACAAATGATGATTTAAAAATGTATAAATCACGCAAAATCGCAGGAAGAGTCTCAAGAGCACAGAGTTCATGAAAGAGGAAGCTGCAGATGTCTAATCAAAATGACACCTTGAACTCTGAGAATATCCAAGATGTACTTGGCATTGGTTACAACACTGCATCCTCACTTTGTCATATTTTCATAAGTAATGTTACCACTTTGGCTCAATATGAAATATGAACTTAGTGATGAATCAACACGCTGAAACCCAGTTTGGATAAATGGATCCTCATGGGCAAATAGTTTGTTGTTTGTCTATATTTATGGCCAGTTTCCCTTCCTGAGTATCTAAACTATCAGCCAATTAGAGGGCTCAAATCTCAAAAAACACTCATACCAAGAGGGAGAGTTAAACAAAAACAAACCTCACTAAATATAAATCATTTTTACAAAAATCACACAACCAAAAGCAGAATGATGTTATTAAAGCCAGACGGCAATCAAGTACTCCGACTCCAGGGAAACTGAACCTCAGTGCTCAAAGAGAAAGTCATTAACAGTATGATTACAACCATCTTCACTCCTAATGGAACTTTAATAATCACAAATTCAGGTTTCTAAATTACATTGCATTAATAAATAATTCCAGTGGACTCATGTCCCTCATCTGACTTCAGACTGAAATATCTCAACAACTACTGGATGGATTCTAAAAAAAGTTTGTACAGACATTCATGGTCCAGAGAAGAAGACAACAATGATGATGATGATCCCCTGCCTTTTTACCATAAGGTAGAAATTTTGAGGTTTTGGAGACATGTTTTAACAACTGTTGGATGAATTGCCATGCAATTGCTACACACATTGATGTTCATAACTTTGGTGATCCTTAAAACTTTCATCTGACACTGTTGTAAGTTCAAATTTTCAATTTGTCAAATACTTATGACCACTAAAATTCCCATCAGCCTCAGCACTACTTTGTGTTTAGAACTAATTACCAATTCTTAGCATGCTAACATGCTAAACTAAAGTGGCAAACATGATGAACATTATACCTATTATAATTATTACAGCAGCAAATAATGATTGTTCTTATAATACAATACATGTATTGAATTTATTGTGACACTATTGCACTTTGATTCACGATGAACAGTTTAAAACAAAAAAGGATCAAAACTGATGCAGCAGAACCAGGAGAGCAGCGTAATAAAAGTTATTTCTCCAAGTCGAACAAAGTTAGAGAATCAGCCTCGGTGAAAAAATAAAATTCAATACAAGCCTTCTCCTGGTCATTAATCTCCCTGTGAGGTTTCAACAGCTTTTCTTATGAGAGTGTCACACCTAACAGAAACCTCATTCTTTTGCTCATGAGTTCATCTTTCTATTTCTCTTTTTAAGTCTGCTGTTTGCCCCCGTTTGTGTTCCTCTCACTGTTTTCCCGCAGCACCATGGACATCAAGTGTGACTAACAACTTATCACTGAATGGATGACAAAGCAAAAAATATTCTTTCCCCTTTTTCAAATGATGCCAAGAGCTGTCCTCTTAAAAACACTGGGCTGTCATCCGGTTGCGATCCCATAAATCTTTACTCAAAACAAAGCAGCACGATAAGGACTAATGTTAACGCTTAATGTATATTTCAAGCCTAATATTTTAACATATACTGTAATTAAGATTTGATAATGACTGACTTGATATTTTTAAATCTAGAGCTACACATACAGAATTATAGACACTTTAACTATAACTAACTAACTTTACACTGTAGGGAAACCTCAGTTAATATCGTTAATATCCCTGTCACAGAGAGCACTGTTATGTTATCTGCTCAGCTGTGACCAGGGGTTCCTTCTTCCTCATTCTTGTTGAACTGAAGGGACTGCTGAAAACCTGAAGCCTGAAAGTTGAAAGTCTGGTTCTGAAAAACAAACAACCAGACTGACAGTTTTAAGGACATCAATTATGAATACTGTTCATTGTTAGTTTAACTTATTGTGTGGTCTTTCCTGTTTATTAGCAACACTAGGTTATAAGTGGCTGCTAGACGTTATTTTTTGGTTTGACAGGTAATTTCCGTTGTGTTCTGGTAGGGCAGATAGGATTAGTCAGGTTAGGAGGCGGGGTTTTTATTTTAAGTTTGTTTTATGTTTTGGCGCCATCCGCTGCCCTTTCTCTTTTTTCTCTGCCAAGTGATTCATTTGTGTTATGGTTATACCGTTTTTGTTGGTGCTAAAGAACAAACGACAGTACCCACCTGATACCATCATCAAACAGCTGCTTCTCTTGTTCCTAAACATCTACAGGTTGTAACAGACGGAGACAGCAGTGTAACCTGGTAGCTATGCCTTTATAGTCCTCCCCTCACACCCTGCACACTGTTATATTATCATTATATCATTACTATGTTATTGGTTGGGGGCTTCACACCCACTGCCCAGAGGTTTCTTGGACAAGGCGCTCCTCAGGGCCGTGGCAGCTAGAAAAGAAAACCCTATATGGACAGATGCCCTTAGTTTACATCACTCTGCAGGAAATCTACTATCAACAAACACTCCTGTTTTTCCATCTCAGCCAAGTGGAAAAACATCTCATGCAACATTTAAGATTTGTATTCACACTAATTTACATTGCCCATATCATGTAATAAAATAATAAATCTAATGAATGATTCTCATAGTCTTTGACTGATATTTAGGAAATGTAGTAAAAATTCAGAAACCTATTGTAAAGTAAATTCAAAATTTCTCCAAACGAAACACACAGAGACCAATAGTTGCCTGGAAGGAAAACAGTCTACAGTGTTTGAGTATGATTTGTAAAATGGCAGTGATGTAACACAAATAGGATTTAGGCCCAAAATTCCATAACAACAGATGTGACCTTCAAGTCCTCTTCCTACATTCATTAAGAGTGTTGTGAGACCACTGTCAAAATCTGATAAACATTTCAACACAACTGGCCTTTTTAAAATTTGGCTGATATTTTTGCACTTTTACATTCTACTTGAAAGTTATTCTAAAGGTATACGTCGGTCACAAAACCACAAAACAGCAAACGAGGAGATGAAGATGTGTTAGTCCTCACAAAACTGAAAAGTTATGCATTTTCAGTGTAATCAATACAATAAGGCTCCATTAGTGTAATGCACTGTAATTTAATGATGTGATCTTATCAACAGTGGTAGTGGGCATTAATGAATGCCTTAATGTAGAAGTGGAGCAAAAGCAAAAGCTAAAAGCAGGGTTCTGGCTCAAACTTAAACAAGCACAAGCTTCTGTTCCCACAGACATCCCTGACAGATTATGTCAAGTTATATTGCAATGATGATGTCAATAAAAAGATTTCCGAAGCCCTTCCTGCAATTATTGTTAGTACGTTGCCAAAATAATCAGTGCAAAAATATGCTGTTGACTGACCTTTTTTATATCTTTGTTAAAGATGTAATTGATAAACATGTAGAGATCAGTGCTTGTGTGTAACCATTAATTAGTCATCTGTGTGCAATAAAATGTAAACAGACCCTAAAAGCATTAGCCTGGTGTAGTCTGTGTGCTCTGGTGCCTCCCAGTGATCAGACGCACTGCAGCTTGTGTCTATACTTCAGGATCAGGACCCCATGTTTTTGCTTTAAAAGGTCCCATATTTTCCTTTTCTCAGCCAGCTCATTCAGTTTCTGAATATAAGCTGTGAACATTTCTCTGTGGACTGAGGCTTTGATACTTTCACAGTATTAATATAGAACCTAGACCTGCTTTATAATCAAAAAAAAGGGATGGAAATCTACCTTTATATAATATGGAACCTTTAATTATTGGCAAACAAATCCATCCAGTCTGTGTACTTCCTGTTTTGTGTTGTTCTGAAAGCTCCCTAAAAACTGCTTTATGTGATCCAGCAGGCTTTAAGGTTATATATAAATGGTTATTTTGAGATGCAAATTCTGTTTTAAGAAGTGGCTCAGTGACATTGTTTCCTGTCTTTATTTGAATGAGATGAAGTTTGTGACATCTGACTTGTACTTTTAGGCTCCCTTGGGGCTTGTGTGTAGTGGTTTCTTGTTTGTCTTTATTATACACTTGTTCTTAAAGTAAAAATAAAAATCTAAAAAGCGATTTCAGTAGAGAGGTCAGCAGGTCCATATGTTTAGTTTTGACATCTGATAGTGGGATGATTCCTTTGCATTCAGCCATTAACATTGTATCAAAATTACAAACAAAGTTCTATAGGTAAGAGCCACAATCACAATATACTGTACAGTACACCACACTGGAGCGTACACCCACCCCACTGTTCCTACCTGTCTCCAGCAGTGAGAGCCCCCAGTTTTTCCTCTCCGGGTTGCGGGGGTGAGGAGTCATCCAAAATCCTCTGGACCTGGTACTCGATCTCCCTGGGAGACAGCAGTCGGCCTGCCCGGTACACCCACAGGCGGAAAAAGCGCCCCTTGTGGTACACCGCCACAAACTCACTGTCCTGCCAGTGCTGTAGCACGTCTGTGGAGGAGAGGGAGGTTATTCCTAGTTTTGGTAGTCCTACTAGTTTACAGTTTAATATCTTTTTATACAAGACAGAACATAGAGTGCTGCAGGAATGAGTCCAAAAACCCAGAAATGAATTAGCATTTTAGCACCTCAAGTTCCCTCGTCCCAAACACATTTTCACATTTTATTCTACAACATAAAACACACCAATACACCAGTCGTGATTTCTTTAGGGGCTGTTGCTAACAAGTGGCCAAATGAGACTACAGAGGTTGTTGGGGGGTGTTAAATGTCATAACAGTGAACATGAAAACCAATCAACTCACCAGTCCACCTTCAAAGCACCGTTGTGTTTATATACTCACGCTTTTGCGATTTATTAGTACCTTGCCTAACATCTGGGTTTGCCTATAAAAATACATCATCCCTGCAGCACTCTTATTACCCGTTGTTTCCTGGAGGACTAGCTCAGCGTACGAGCATCGGCTGACAGAATTCTATCAAATAAACAATAAGCTATAGTATACATCTGCAGCAACACAGTGTGTGAGTGTGTTTGTGTGTGTGTGTTACCAGTCTCAGCTCCTGGAGTGCGTGTTGTGTTGAACATCCTCTCACACTGAGCGGCACACAGAGGGATGACAGTACCTGGAACACGACTCTGACACACAGAGACACACACATACATTGATTATTAATATCTATTGGTTATAACACTCAGTTTTCTAAACTAGAAGGGAAGATAGTTATAAATGTGCATATGTAGTGGCTATAAAAATCAATCACCTCCCTTTTTCCCCTCATCAATCCACACTGAATATAATAATGACAAAAGCGAAATAGAATTTTTGAATTATTTGCAAATTTATTAAAAAACGGAAAAACTGAAATAATATTAGTAAGTATCATATTAAGAGTTCTACTAAGTATTCAGACACTTCTTAGACAGATACTTATCAGATCAAGAACCAAGCCATGAGGAGGAAGGAACTGCCTGCAGAGCTCAGAGACAGGATTGTGTCGAGGCAAAGATCTGAGGGAAGGCTACAAGAGAAAAACTGCTGCAGGTGAAGGTTGAAGGTTCCCAAGAGCACAGTGGCGTCCACCATTCTTCAATGAAAGAAGTTTGAAGCTACCAGGACTGTTCCTAGAGCTGGATGCCAAAGCAAACTGACTGATCAGGGCCTTGGTAAGAGAGGTGACCAAGAACCCAATAGTCACTCTGGCTGAGCTCCAGAGATCCTGAAGGAGAACCATCACTACAGCACTCCACTGATCTGGGCTTTATGGCAGAGTGGTCTGACGGAAGCCTCTCTTCAGTGAAAAGCTGCTTTGAGTTTGTAAAAAAAAAAAAAAAAAAAGCACCTAAAGGACTCTCAGACTGTGAGAAACGAGATTCCCTGGTCTGATGCAACCAAGATCGGAGACTTGGCTCTAAACATCATGTCTGGGAGAAACCAGGCACTGCTCATCACCTGCCCAACACCATCCCAATGGTGAAGCACTGTGTAGGCAGCATCATACTGTGGGGGTGTTTTTCAGGGGCAGGGACAGGGAGACTGGTCCGGATTGAGGGAAAATACAGATACACTCCCCTCCAAAAGTATTGGAACAGTGAGGCCAATTACTTTATTTTTGCTGTAGACTGAAAACATTTGGGTTTGACATCAGAAGTTGAATATGAGACAAGAGATCAACATTTCAGCTTTTATTTCCAGGAATTTACATCTAGATCTGATACACAACTTAGATGATAGCATTATTTGTAACGGAACACCAAATTTTTAGGTGAGCAAAAGTATTGGAACAGATAGACTTAAATTAGATTAAGTGAATAAGACTTAGTATTTAGTTGCAATTCCTTTGCTTGCAATAACTGCATCAAGCCTGTGACCCATTGACATCACCAAACTTTTGCATTCTTCATTTGTGATGCTTTTCCAGGCTTTCACCGCAACCTCTTTCAGTTGTTGTTTATTTTGGGGGGTTACTCCCTTCAGTCTCTTCTTTAGCAGGCAAAATGCTTTATAGGGTTTAAGTCTAGAGATTGACTTGGCCAGTCTAAAACCTTCCACTTCTTGCCCCCTGATGAACTCCTTTGTTGTTTTTGCAGTGTGTTTTGGGTCATTATCTTGCTGCATGATGAAGGATCTCCCAATCAGTTTGGTTGCATCTTTCTTTAAATTGGCAGACAAAATGTTTCTGTAGACTTCTGAGTTCATTTTGCTGCTGCCATCATGTGTTACATCATCAATGAAGATTATGGCTATGGCCAATGTTGTGCAATGGCTCTAATTGATTTTCCATCTTCTCTCAGCTTCACAATTGCTTTTTTTTCATCCATAGACAGCTCTCTGGTTTTCATCTTGGTTACACCTCTAACTATAAATGAGCGTAGACATTCAGCGCTATTTATTGTTTGAATAATCAATGTAATAGGCCACACCTGGGCAGCAAAACACATCTGTCAGTCACATGTTCCAATACTTTTGCTCACATGAAAAATGGGTGTCTTCAAACAAAAGGTGCTATCTTCAAAGTTGTGCATCAGATCCAGATGTAAACACCTGGAAATAAAAGCTGAAATGTTTATGTCGTCTCATATTCATCTTTTGATGTCAAACCCAAATGTTTTCCGTCTACAGCAAAAATAAAAGAATTGGGATCACTGTTCCAATACTGCTCACAGTGCACAGGGACTCAAACTGGGATGAAGGTTCACCGTCCAACTGGACAACTGGAAAATGATTCTCATCTCACAGCCAAGACACACAGGCATAACTTACTGAAAACTCAGTGAATGTCCTTAAGTGACCCAGCCAGAGTTCTGACATGAACCCAGTTAAACAACTCTGGAGAGACTTAAGTAAAAGTCAGTTGACTGCTGTTCCCCATACAACCTGACAGTGCTTGAGAGGATCAGAAAATCCCCAAATCCAAGGCAAACCAAAGAAGATTCCAGGCTGTAATCATCGCCAAAGGTGTTTCAACTAAGTGCTGAGAAAAGGGTCTGAATACTGAATGTCAATGTGATGGTTGTTTGTGTCCTCTAACCACTCGCTCACTTGTAGTACTCAGGAAATTCCTGAAATCTTTCCCTCCTAACTGTTAGCATTGATATCAGAACTGTTATCACTACCTCACTCACATGTTTCCCCACTACACTTTCCACCCTTACATCAACTAAAAGTGTTATTTTATTTGATTATATAAATATCAAAGCTACACTGTCTTGAAGACATGGTATCCTTTCCAACACACACACAAACAATTCAACCCACTGATACACCAACTGTGCCAAAATGTGTAAAGTCTTACCGGTTTGAGTTCCTCTCGGTTTACCTTGCGGCGGTAGAGCAGCAGGGCAGTTATAGTGTTGCCTGCTCTGGCAGCCTGCACCGGGGTCGGGGTCACATACAGAAAGTCCTGCACAGGCAACAAAATTACAATCACAAGATTTATGATTATGAAAACAAACAGATGAAGAGGAAACTGTTACATAATTCTCTTATCTGACTGTATGATAAGACAATAAGAGAGCAGAGGTTTAAAATGGGATTGTAAGGACCATCTAAGTAAGACCAGGAAGTTAAGGAATGGAAGGAGGATAGAAAAGAAAGACACAAACAGAGCTGATGAATAAGAAGGAGATATGCTTCCTTCCAATTTGGTTCAACTTTATCTCCAAAGCTGGTTACCATGCCATAGTAGTTACTGTTGACCATGATAGGACTTCGGCTTCTCAAGTAGATGTATTCTTCCCACCAGTCGCTCACCTGGAACATAACGGGACATTAAATTTGTTATTTATTCCTTCAAAACAAAAGGAAAAAACACAGCAAAGAGATACTAGATATTCTGTGTTTAAAATAGAAAATATCAAGACTTTCCAAGCTTGAATACCTGTCACCAATGAAGCAGAAAATCTGTCATTTCTTTAAAAGGTACCATATTTTAAACTTTTCCATTGCTTTATTTGAAGTGTTGATCCGTAAGAAGAAATAGTTGTTGTATTAGGAACCAAAAACCATCTCAGTGTTGATTTGCAACTCCTCTCACAGGCTCGGGTCTGGTGGGTGGGGTTGGGGCAAGGCTGAGAGAGATTACTGCTTTGTTGTGAAATCACATAGTAATAGTCCTGAGGGCTCATTTCATGACTCAGTTTTCTGAATACAGGCTGTGTGCATTTCTCTGTGGACTTATTGATATAGAACCTAGACCTGCTTTATAATCAAAAAAGACTATTTAAATCTCACATGAGACTTTTAATTATTAGGAAACAAATTGATCCAGACTGTGTACTTCCTGTTTTGGGATGTTCTGAAAGCTTCCTAGAAACTGCCTTATTAAACAAGACATGGAAATCTACCTTTACACAATATGGGACCTTTAAATTAAAATTTACAGTCACTTTCCTTTAAAAGGTCAGAGACATTGGCAGACCCTCAGGAAAGGAAGTGATATATTTTAATATGCTCAACTGTGCACAAATACAGGCACTAAATGGTGAGGAAGAAAGCCAAGAATGAAAGATGGTGTGGCTTTTGGGTAGGAGGCTTTTCAGCTGTTTATGTATGGTTAGTTATTTGTGCGTGCGTGCGTGCGTGCGTGCGTGCGTGCGTGCGTGCGTGCGTGCGTACTTACATAGTTTGTGGCCCACAGAGCTTTCAGTTTCAAGTAGCGTTGGAGACGGTTTCCCAGGCTGGACTCAAACTGATTGCCCAGTTCAGTCATTCGTTTAAACTCGGGATCAGTCAACAGAGGGCGAACGGACTCCAGGTACTAAGAGAGAGAGAGAAAGAAAGAAAGAGAGAGAGAGAGAGAGAGAGTGATGAGAGAAGAGAGAGAGAGTAGAGAAGAGAGTCAAATCCAAGGTTCTTTGGTTTAGGGTTATTTCATTTCATTCACTTCATTTAGATGAATATATGGACAGCACATACATAAAATATTGATTCATACATAGAGAAGATGCCGGTGTGTTTGTGTGTGTATATTCACCCTGCTCAGTGTGTCTTTGATGGCAGGAACAGGCAGGTGAGGGAGAGAGGTCTGATAGCTGTAGAGCAGAGGCTTCCTGCTTGATAATAACCTTAGCAGAGTCTGCGGGAAAGAGAGAGAGATGGATATTTGTGAAATTTTCAGTAACTATTTAAATATAACAGACACCACATGTAGTATGTAGAAACAACTCTCTAAATATTTTATTGCTTCCTTTGCATGGTGCCATTTTGTTATAATTTTGTTCACCAACAGTGAAGAAAAATGATATGGAAGGAGCAATTTTGTGTGCATGACCTAAAACAACCTCTGCAGAGTGGCCTCAGGAGGGAGCTGTGATATCAAGTAGGAGTACGTCTTACCACCCAGACTTTAGTGGTGTTGGAAACACGGCCGTGTTGTTCAAACATCCACTGGTGATAGGACAGCAGCAGCTTGAGGCAGAACCTGAGCGCGAGGATGAGGGAGAGCCACAGCAGAGTGCTGAAGACCAGCGCTGACACCATAGTCTGACCCTGGGCACTGAGGGAGACATGGAGACTGGACAGAGGCGAGAGGAAAGTAGCATTAGAGCACTAATACTACAGTGTGTTGTAAAACCATTAATTCAAGTTAGGTTTTTCCAACCTAAAAAATAAAGATACAAGACTGTCATCTCTCCAAACTTATGCACCATAACAACCAGCAGAAGGTAGATAATGCACACTGTACACACGGATGAGCCTAAGACAATGATAGATGCTGGGACAGTAATCTGTAAATGGTCATGGATGGAAGTGAACCACCTTAAATAATGGATGCCTTTGGCAAAACTTTAAAAAAGAAAAAAGTGCATGAGTATCTCAATCCATCCCACATTTCTCATGTCACATTTCACTGTGAGGAAACAGAAGTAAAATTTACAACAAAAGTACAACAGCAACATCTGCTGGATTAATGAGGAAGTGGCTTTTTAAAAAGAAAAGACACCTGAATCTAGAAAATGGGGAATAATAATATGGGGTATGAGGATAAAATGGCACAAATACAATGATGTTAAGAAATAATAAATAATAATAATAATAATAATAATAATACTAATAATAATAATAATAATAAAGTGCTGCTAGACACTCTGAGGTGTCAAAGTCCACATATTCACAAACAGAAGCCCCAGGGTTGATTTCAATATCTGAATATTAATGTTGGTATGGAAAAAGCATGTTCAGGCAAGGCAAGGTTATTTATATTGCACCATTCAGACACAAGGCAAAGTGCTTTACAGAGGCATGAAAATACAAAATTTCAAAAACAAATTTTAATAAATCTTTTTTTTTTTTTACATAAGACATGTTAGGATTCGATCAAATCAGGAAAGAAACTTTCTCTTTAAGACAAAAACTTTTCTTTTTCGCCTGGGTGAGTACTCTTCTATTAAACAGCACCTCGGCTCTGAGGCAAATTGCACAACAGAGCCTCTATTCCTAACTGACACAAACGCTCCACAGGTTTTGGTTACACCGGGGTCGACCTCTTTCAGCTGCCCCAGAACATTTTCCCTACGGGTGCATTCTCACAGTCTTTCTTTCACATGAATAAACTAACTACTGACATCAACACTTGAAACAGCAGTGATGAAGTTGCTGAGTTTCTATCGTCCGGCTGCCCTTTATATGGAACTGCTATTTACTGAACTGATTTGCAGCAAACTTGGTGGAGGGATGAGGCATTGAATCATTGAATTGTGGTGCTGATCTGGTTCAAGGGGCAGTCCCAGGATATTTTTTTTTTTTTTTCCTCAGGAAATAAAGTTTGGATCTTGATGTAAAAAATCAGACCATCAATATTAATGGTGTTTATGTCTATGGCTAAGAATTGTTTGTTCTTGGTGGAGTTATTGCACTCCACTGAGAGCTAGTCTAGTTCCTCTTGTTATCAGGGTGGAACATGGCAGGTGTGTGTATGAGGTTAGACAGTGACTCAGCAATGTTGTAAGTACCTAAAACAACAGTAAGTGTATAGACTGGGAGAGAAGTAGAGGAAAGGTGAAGTGCAGGCGCCACGCCCACACTGCTCCATAATGACTCATCAGATTTATTTATGAACATCTGTTTGTTTGGATCAGTAAAACTCCAACGCTTTCCCTGTTGACTGTTACTGGTAAGACTTCCTTTTAAAGTGGAGCTGTGACTTACAGCTGGAAGTATAGTGTGACCGATACTGGATTTTTGACTTTTAAAAAAGAAGTTTTTAAAAATCTGTTAACGATATATCTGGGATGTACAGTATATCCCTTAGATTTTTTTTTATTATTATTATTATGAATAAGATATGAAGTAAGCAGGATGTTTTACAGCAGAATAATCAACTTGTCACTGCTCTCTGTACTTACTGGCATACATATACAATAATCAGCCATTATCCACCTGGAAGTTGTACTGTTCTGGTTGTATTTTCAAGTATTACACTGTGTTAGCTAATAATTGCTTTGCATTGATAATTTAGACGACATCAATATGATCGGCCAGTCTTTTTAATCAGCCTGGCAGCTTGGGTTTATATCATGCACCAATTTGACCATCTTAAAACCATACAAACAAAAAACTATCAACCATCCTTGATCCTTGATTTATTTAGAGCATGCAATTTGTGCCACAGCAGATTTACATTAAACTTATGATAACGATAATGAAAAATGTGCGTGTGTGCGTCTGTGTACCTTAGTGGCAGGTGTTGCTGTATCTTGGCGATGAGCCCCATGCTGGGATCTGAGCGCATGTACATGGTGGCCAGGATCGCTATGACGACAAAGAGCCAAGAGGAAGGGCTGGCTGGGTATACTCCCTTAATCACCCTGTTCTGTTACCACAGAAGAAGAAACAACAGGCATTATGATTAGTGAAAACAGCCAAAACTGCAGAAAACACAGTTAATATGAGAAACAACTGGATTCCTGTTGCGAGAGAACATTTGACAAACTGATGCTCCCTTCACATTTCTCATTAAGGGTTTAACTTTGTCAACTTTCTAATGTTGACAAGAAAAAAGTAACTACATTTTTGTGGGTTCAACCTTACAACATTTACTCATCAGTAGGAATGGCAGGTTGATAAAGAAATTTTAGAAGTTTGTTTTTTGAGCACGACTACGACAACAACACACAACTGCACATGCACAAACAACTGTGTCTTTGGCACCCCAGCTGGAAAACATGCATGTCACTACATGTTAGGAAAGGGCTCATCTTTCTTAAGCTGTACAGATGGGAATTCACACCATGTAATAAGGCTGTGTGCATTCATCACTCATCCCTCACACACAAATTACATCCCTACACATCTTTACCTCTCACACAAAGGTTTAGACAAGTGGAAAAAGCCTACACTCAGTGACATCAGCACAAATATGAGGAAAATCCCTGCACATGTGCACACATGTAGAGATTTCCCATCATGCTCACCCTTATGCGGCTGACTCGTTTCTTCCATGATCGGACTCCGGACAGGTAGATCTGGTTCAGGGCCTGGTAGGACAGCTGCAGGTCAATACCCTCTGGTGTTATGGTGAACTGGAACGCCACGGCCTGGTGGGCCTCTGCCATCACTATGGAAACACAAGTGAACAAAAATGTAAACACCAATATCACTCGATGAATGTTTTTTATAGTAGTTAAACCGTACAACTTGAAGACATTCATTACGTCACAGTGACTGTGGGATCATTTCTGGTATTAAACAGGATTTAATAACATTGGAATGACTGGTTTTTAATTAGTTTCATGACAGTTACTGTCCATAACAACTAGTTTCATAAGCCAGAAAGCAGCTCAGTGTGTTTGCCATCTCTCTTGTATGAAGGCACTGTGTGAAAATACTTGAGTAATTTAATGTGTCAGTGGAATGTTGTTGTCTCATTAAGTCCTGCCACTGAGGAAAAACACACTTTTCTGTTGTAAGTTAAGTCCTCTGTTTAACAGTACGTTTAGTTAGTAGATGTACAACCAAAGGTTGAAAAACAAAGCTGCATATTTTTTGTCATCTAAAAATTTGTATTTTTATCATTAAATATTTAGCATGTATCTGGGAACTATCAGGGGCACCACAATACTGTGAATATAAGCCATGCAGCCGATAACAATTGAGAAGTAATTTTTAAGAATAGCCAGTATTTCATATATTGGCCAATGTGTGCCAGTACATCCTTATATTGCTGACTGGTAGTTGGTCGAGGTTGCCATGACGACTCCCTGCACTTTTACTGTGAAAGTGACTGATTCTTTTATTAGTGGAGTGAATGCACTGTGCAGATGTAATGGTCAAACTGATGGGAAGTCATTGTCTTTGTGGCAGGGTTTATTTAGTTTATGAAGAGAAAAATACTAAGTGTTTAGTTCAGCTCAGGAAACACGTTGCTGCCTGCGGTTGATATACTGCAGAGTATTCTGGGGCCGTGCCTGAGCAACCACCAGCCTCTGTTGGACATGAATTATTTAATACTTATGAGCTACAAGCTCTGGCATCATCCTTGCAGCTGAGCAGCTGTAGGAGGATGCAAGGAAAGAGGAAACAAGTAATCCAGTTTATAGCTTCTGCTTTAATGAGCTTCATAAGTGAAGCCACTCCCAACAACCCAGTTCTCAATAAATATTTTCTTCCAAGTTGTTATTTTCACCATCTATGTTTCCAAAGCAGTGCTTAAAGAGCGAGGAAAAGCACGAGTGTAAATAAAAATGAATGATGGCTGAATTCCATTTAGCTGCTTCAGTTTCAGGCTCCTGGTATTGTTTATGCTGGCTCATTGTCACACTGTCACGGCTTGTTGGGACACTTGACAATCAACAGAGCTATTGTTAATGTTAAAGCTGGAGTGCAAGACTTATAAATATAAATGCGTCCAACGTCTGTTACATTCCAGCCCTTTGCAAAACGAGTTGACACAATGCTGATGAAGCGTCTCAGCAGCAGGTAACCCACTCTATTAGTTTGAAACCTGGTGCATGTGGACTTGCCCGCCTAACCAGCCAGGTTGCCAGAGCTCAGGAGGGTGTTCTGTTACATCTATATGTACATTGTAAACATATGTGGAGGCTCAGTTAAGCAGCCGAGAGACAGCTGTGTCATTCTTTATTACATGTCCCCCTTGCAACACAGTACAACATGCTGAAGGTTCCTAGATGAAATATGTGTGTAGGAACCTCCAGCATGTTGCACTGTGTGGGCCGGAGGTACACATTAAAAGTCCAGGACACAACATGCAGCTATATGTTGGGTACTTGTGTTGACATGTTTACAATGTGCATATAGACAGCAGAACGTGGTGTCAGAAGGAACGACCGTAGCCATGGTGATGGAGCAGCTACAGCAGCAAGAGTATGGTCTAAAAACTCAGGAAATTTCCGAGAAGAGTTTCTGATGCAGGAGATAAAAAAAGATACTCAATGTTTAAGAGGAAGGAGGTAATGTTGCACATAACTTTTTTTTGGGTGAGTGTAACTTTTGTCCTCTGTCTTAATCTTTATCTTTGGGCGTTACTTGGACTGATTGGCAAGTGTTTTCCAGACACAGACTTTTATACTCAGATGACAAGGTTTCCAGCAAGTGTACTTCCAATTCCCAGCTTTAAGACATTACTTAACAAGCCTACAGATGAGATGATATCACACACACAACATCCATGTTATTTTCAGTAGCATATGGTTTTGCATCTCTAAAGTCCTTATCTGGGTTTAGTAAATTTTGCATGGGAACATTTACAATTGAGTCTGCAGCAGACAGTGTGTGGCTACATTGACCTGGACAAACAGAAATCTGACAGAAAGCGCCTCTACAAGCTTGGTGTGTTTGTTGAATTCCTTTACTTCCTCTTCAGAGAGTAGGCACATGGATAATGACAACTAACAGAAACTTTTAGTCATTGCTGTGTTGCTCAATTTTTACAGGATAAATGGATAATGACAACTCTGAAACATATCTGTTAGGTCCAAAAGGCTTCCCAGGTTTTTCACTGTGAGTGTGTGTATTTGTGTGTGACACAACAGGAAAGGAGCTCTGAGGCCCCGCTCTGTTAAAACACATAATAATGCACAGCTGTTGCAGATGAATGAGGCCTCTGGCACACACACAGAACGATGACATGACAACTATACAGTAACAGTCACACAACCTATAGAAAGTAGGTCAACACATAATCCCTATGAGGTTGTTTGCCACAGTCTGTGAGTGTGTGCAGACCTCTGTCATCTCTTCTCCTTCTCTCTGTCCAACCAAGCGATTGATTGCTGCATATTTCTCACTTCCCACAGCTATTTCACTGTTTGTGTGTGAGTGCATGAATGAAATGGAGAGAACGAAGGTGGGAGGAAAAGTGTAAGCCTGTTACATAGCTCACAGTTGCTGATGCTTTAGCTATGCACACATTATTCTTGTGTACTGTGGAGGACCTCCAGATGATTAGCATTCATGCAAACTGTTCTCCTTGCCCTAAACTTTACTTAATTCTGTTCTTAACCCAAAAGCCAGACCTTTGTCTTGACCCTTGCCTATGTTCTAAACTCTAACCAGGACCTAGGATTAGCCAGTCCACGGTAATTGCAATACTAATCTAAATACAAGGGTTTGAAAAGTCTTGTTCAATTGCAACATATCCATATCCTTCAGCTTTTTTTGTCTGCTTCTGCTCGCAACACTGCAGCACTTAGTATCATGACACTTGTCTTCCAAATATAGTTCCACTTTGTGCCTTTCTCCATTACAACTAACATTTAACTGGGGTCACATGTTTTTTTACTAAAAATAGATACCTCTAGATATTGTAAAACCCAGAAGGTTGTATAACAACACTTACCACTGATCCGAAGACAATACCAGACTTTCCTATCCACCTGGATGAAAAAAATGTTCAGTCTGTTGCACAAACTGCTTCTCAAGCTGTAACATTAATTCTGTGAAGATTTCCTGACTTTTTTTTCTCAATTTCTGAGATAAAAATCAGAAATCTAAAAAAAAAAAAAAAAGTGAAAAATTCTGAGTTTAAAGTCAAGTTTAAGTTAAGTTAAAATTTAAAGTTTGAACTCTGAGATTAAATTCAGAATGCTAAAAAACTCAAAAATGTTCACGTGGCGCTGATCTACCTCCGTACAGTTGCATATAAACTTAGGTTGTGTGGTATATTTTAGTAAAGCTACTAATTAGTGTTTGATTCAAAATCGTCAGACAACGCTGACAAACAGGTTTCACCTGCTGGAGCAGAAAGGCAGCTACAGCTCATTCAGTCAGTCTGAGCGCGCGGACACGGGGACGGCGGGAAGAAGTGCGCGTGCACGGACTAACACACACAGACACACACACACACAGACACACACACACACACACACACACACACACACACACAATAACTAAAGCTTGAGTGTAATGTAAATTAAACAGTCTGCAGGCTACTGTTTACACAGTACACCAAGCTGGTTAAATCATCATCAGTTTAACACGTTGGTTCTGCAAAGAGTTTTTGTTTGTTTGTTTTCTCTTACCAACGGCTGAACGTTAGCTAACAACAAATAGACCAAATATCTGGCTTAACTTTACATTTCTATCCTGTCAATGCTGTGCCATAGTTAGCTTATCTGCCATACTCCAGAAATGTTCATATTTGAAAGTGAAGGCTGCTATGAACCAGGCTGACATTACATAGTACATAGTGTTTACCTGTAAATGTATTAACACTGGTTTTCAGTTGTTCAGCTTTTCACCTCGGGCAGCTTTCAGTAACATAAATAAAAGTAACATTAACAAACAGATTTGTCACACTCGCTGGGACTTATTTGAATTTGACTGAACTAACCAGTTTTGTCAAAGAAAAGAGTTACTGTGCATCACAGCAAAGCTGCTCCCCATCACTACACCGTGCCTGTGTGGGTGTGGGTGTAGAGACACCCCCAGCTCCCAAAAAAAACAAACCCAAAGCCGATATTCAACACAAACACGTATATTACGTCTATTAAAGTACAGTGTATTAGCACAAACACCCATAGCTCTGTAGCCTATTGTAATATCACTCCTACTCAACACACTGTGGTCCATTCATGATCAGCACCATCTCCCACTCAGCGCGATGCACGGAAGCCGAGCAAAACGAAGGGAAAACCTGAACCAGCAGCTCGATGAGAGAGGATTAATTACAATTTTTTTTACCTGAAGTGTCTTTAGAGGAGTTTTCTCGATGAAAAGGCTGATACAGAAACGTCTGTTTGGACCCCTCCCTGCTTCCTGGGCCTGAGACAGAGGTGCACTGAGTGAAAGCGGCGAAAGCGTCCCCACCACCCACCAACAGAAGAATCACTGCCACTTCCAGCGAGCAAAGATGTTCTGTGTGTGAGAAGAGGACTCACTCTCAACTTCAGTTGAAAACCCAGGGGGTTGAATTACGGCTGTGTAAATGTAGGCGTTAACTTTGCTGTAGCCTGAAGGCAATAAGATACAGTATGATGAGATGAGGCCATCAGGTTTTATAACTATTTTCTGCCTTGTGAAGTCATTCGTAAGTAGTAATAGTAAGTAATTTCCCTTACTTTATTTATTTATTGGTATGTTGTATTGCAGATGTAGCCTATTACAATTTACTTGATAGATGGATAGTTTGTTTCATTTGCTATAGCACTTTAATTCTACAAAAAACAGTCTATAATTGACGCTTGATCAGTGTCAGAGTCAAAGTGAGAGCTCTTTCCTTTCATTTTCTC